GGATGTGACTTAACGGGCTACTGTGATGCTGATTTTGCAGGTGACTGTGATACCCGGCGTTCGACTACTGGGTATGTGTTTGTGATTGGGTCTGGAGCAGTTTCGTGGTGTAGCAAACGGCAACCCACAGTGTCTTTGTCAACAACTGAAGCAGAATATCGAGCGGCTGCAATGGCAGCTCAAGAGAATACTTGGCTTGTGCAACTATTGGAAGATTTACATCAATCACAAGAGTATTCAATCCCTTTGTATTGTGACAATCTGTCAGCAATTCGCTTGGCCGAGAATCCAGTATTTCATGCAAGAACTAAACATATTGAAGTCCACTATCACTTTATTCGGGAGAAAGTTCTTATGGGAGAAATAGACTTGATACATGTTGGAACAAAAGGTCAAGTCACAGATATGTTTACAAAGAGCCTGAGTGGTAACAAGATTGAAATCTTTGGCAGTGAACTTGGACTCACAAAGAATAATACACCTGGTGTTGAGGGGAAGTATTAAACAAATAACAACACCAGTTTGTGGTTGACCTATTATTATGGGATTAGGAGAATGATAGTTTGCACTTGACCTATTCTTATGGCATCAGGAGAGTGACAGTTTGTGGCTAACCTACTTTTGTGGGATCAGAAGATAGATTTAGTCAAGGGTGCTTATTTTATGTGGCTCTTATTTAATTAGTTTATATAATAATTTAATTAGTTCCAGGTTTTTAGCTAAGGTTGGTTGTTACATGTAGCCTATTTATAGGCTTAGTTGTTCTACTTTTTTATTCATCAGTTTTTGCTATCAGTAATAAAAAGAGTATTATTCATTCCTTCAATTATCAATCTTTCTCCAGATTTCAGTTTGCTCATCTTTTCTTTTTCAACACTACCCCCGTCAATTGCACCCCACAAGTTGATTTTGACTTTGGAGGCTCCGATACCATGTTAAGGAACCAACTCAACCAAAAGCTCAAACTTGTGGTTGTGGCCCAGGAACAGTTATTATATTCTAACAATGTTAAGGAACCAACTCTACCAAAAGCTCAAGCTTGTGGTTGTGGCCCAGGAACAATTATTATATTCTAACACGTCCCCTCACGTGCAGGCGTAGTCTTTTTTCAAGACTTGCACGTGAAACCTTAATTTTTTTAAACTTGATGGCGCTGAGTTTCAAACCCGTGACCTCTTAGTCAACGAGATTCCGATACCAAGTTAAGGAACCAACTCAACCAAAAGCTCAAGCTTGTAGTTGTGGCCCATGAACAATTATTATATTCTAACAAACATCACTCTTAACGGTTCCTGGATCCGCCACTAGATATCACAATCACTTTTATTTGTTGCCATGTTTTTATTGATCATTTAATAAAATATTATATTTTTGTCCTTACTCTCTTAGTACATTTTGTCACCTCATTTTCTCTTCATACAATTTTTCTTTTATTTTTCCCTCTACCCAAAATTAGGAAACATATTTCTCATCTTTTTTTCATTCCTCTTTCAAAGATTTTGAACCAAACATAGAGCCTGTATGGGAATAGCGTTTTCGATTAGCGTTGGCATTACTTTGAAAACGCTAGTGTTAAATGGTGCCTGTGAATAGCTTTCAAAACGCTAACGCTAGCTAACCTCTAAAGCTATATCCAAACATGCCCCATAACCTTACTATTTCACCCTATGTAGTAATTAGGAACCCCTTTCGCTGTTTACTTTATTAGAAACTTCTAACGGCTTTTAAATAAATAAAATAAAATTTAAAGTTTTCAACATCTACAATGATTTAATTTGCATGCATTATTATTCAACAACAACAAAACTTACCTTGAATTGAAAGTCTTAAGTTTAAAAAAACAGTTCAATTTTTTTATATATTTTATCCATAAAAATACCGTAATTGACAATTGGTCCGTATCCCAAGCGGTACTATATATATATATATATATATATATATATATATATATATATATATATATATATATATATATATATATATATATATATATATNAAAATAAAATTTAAAGTTTTCAACATCTACAATGATTTAATTTGCATGCATTATTATTCAACAACAACAAAACTTACCTTGAATTGAAAGTCTTAAGTTTAAAAAAACAGTTCAATTTTTTTATATATTTTATCCATAAAAATACCGTAATTGACAATTGGTCCGTATCCCAAGCGGTACTATATATATATATATATATATATATATATATATATATATATATATATATATATATATATATATATATATATATATATATATATATGTATAGTATATGTGTATATATAACACTCATTGTGTCTTTGTGAGAGCACATCCATTAACCTTTTGGCAGAACGACAACAGCCATTTCTAGTTTCAATTCATAGCTTCTTCTTTGAATTGTGGGCAGGAAATTAAAATGGAAGACACCAAAAATGCTCCCACTCATTCGTACAACAATAATGATTATGTACATCTTTCCCAACCCAATGCAGCCTCTCCCAGTACTCAAGAAGTAGAGCGACAGCGGCTCCTCCGAAAGAAGAAGCAGCGGCGCGACCGGATCGTGTGGGGTATCGTTGCCTATGTCCTACTCCATCTCGCCTTGGCCCCCGTACTTTACGTTTTCGTACTCAAGGCCAAGCATCCCGCGCTCCGCCTCAAGTCCGCCACGTTCGTCGGGGACCGCGACGCTGCAAACTCCTCGTTCAGTCTGACACTGAACGCGGTGCTTGCAGTGAAGAACCCTAACTTTGGGTGGTACAAGTACCAAAACGGTTCGGTTTGGTTTTCCTACGGGGGCCGTCCCGTCGGGAACGGCTCCGTGCCGGCGGGGAAGGTTGGGTTTAGGTCCCGTAAGACGGTCGAAGGCATTGTCGTGGAGGTGCGGCTCGGGAGCGATCTCCGCTCCCGGAACTTCACGTTGAACGTCGGGGGAAAGTTGGAGGGGAGAGTGAGGACACTGATGATGAGTAAGAAGAAGAAGTCTAGTGAGGAAATGAATTGTTCGTTGCCCATTTATATGAAGGAGAAAGCCACTGGGAAGATTATATGCTAATTAATTACAAGGTTGTTGTTAATTATTCAATAATTTGGACGTCCACTGCTGTATGTAGTACCTTACTTATTTATTTGCTTTTATGTGTTGTTATCATTCCATTCTTATTATTGTATTGCCCTGTAATAAATCTCTCAGTTCCTATGAGCTGAGGTTTGTATTAGGAAGTATAATTAAATTAGGATACTTCTTTCCTTTCCTACTAGGATTATTCTTTCCTTTCCTACTTATACTTTGATTACTCTTGTATTCCCTATATATAGGGTCATATCTCTCAATATTCAATAAGACAAGTTATTATCAAATTGTATCATGGTATCGGAGCTAAGGCTCTCAAAAACCTAGCCTCTCTTTTTTCCGACCGCCGCCCACCATGGCAGCCCCGTCGGATCCTTTGGCGTCCTTACCCTCCGGAGTAAAACTTTTGCTTCGGAGTCTCCACAACTTAATCCTAGAAAAACTCACCGAAACAAATTATCCGGCATGGTCTCTCAATGTCCAGAGAGCTCTTTCAGCTAATCTCCTCCTTGGATGGATTGATGGTCATGAAGCAGCCCCGGCGCCAACTATCTCCAAAAACGATAAAAC